GGACGTTTAGCAACTATAAAAGGGTCCCCAAATCCGTCTGTCATGTTTAGTTGGTTGAGTACGACCAAAATGTGACATGAACTTGGGAGCATCATAGTGAAGAATTTAATGACAAAACAGTTAGATAATCTGAACAAGGAGAGCAGAACATAAAAGTCTGAAATACGTCTGAAAATCACGCAGCTTTTTCAAATCACGCGAGAATGTGTACAAAACAACAAAAATGGCGCCGGGAACGCTTGTGGGTCGTTTTCAGCGAATGTCGGTGCTTTTAAAGAAATTTTGAGTGATAAATAATTTTTTTTTTTTTTTGCGATCATTGCACTTGCCCAGCGGGCATTAAAAACTTCTTTCCCCCAAGCGATCAGGCAATGGTTAACATCGAGCCCTGACTTGATAAAGAAAACATAACTTACAGACATTGCTTTAGCATGGTGAGGAAAAGAATAGCCAGAGATGAGGAGCTAACATTTCCATGTGCTCAACCAGCTGGAGCAGGTGACAAAATGCCAGACTTTTCCTGTCTCCCAGCATGCACTGCTCCCAGGTTGCTGCAGACTAAACCAATCACACTGACTGAGTAAGTAACATATTCACTAAGGATACAACAGGGCATAAATCAAAAATGTCTGCGTCAAGCTCACTGCTACACACTGCTGCAGGGAGTGTAACCAACCTTTAAGTGTGAAACGTTGTATGTTTTTGTTGGTCTCTGTGTTGCCCTGCGACAGACTGGCGACCTGTCCAGGTTGTACCCTGCCTCTCACCTGTAGACTACTAGACTTTAAATAAGTAAGCAACCAAAAACATTAGGCAACCAAGTCAATGTCTCTACAGTTTCATTTTAAAATCTTAATTTACTACATTTATCCATCAATATTTAATATAATATAATGAGCTTTAAATAAAGTAAATATTCAAATGTTTTAAATAAATAGATGTGAAAGCCGTATCCATTTGAGGAAGCAGCTTCTCACAGCAATAACTCAAATGTGTAAAGAATTGTTTTTAAACATTGTTGATATCTAATATTTATATATAAGTTTTATAACTGTTATTTTTCTCTCTCTCTCTCTTTGAAAATTAACTTAATTGAATAAATATGCCTCCTGCATGATTCTTGTTTCTGTAATGTTATTACAAAATGTAATGGACTAATGTTGATGTCAAATGTTTCTGAATAGAAATTTATATAAAAAAATCATTTTTTTTTTTTTACCTGGTGAGTTTCTCTGAAGTGTGTTTTTCCTTTTTAGCAGCTTATAGGAAGATTAAAAAGATTGAAGAAAATGTTAACATCTCTAGTTTAAAAATAGTGCCCTCTGCTGTTTAAAAGAAATCACACCATGTGCTCTATTGTTTTGATAAAATAAAGATAAGCTTCAGAGCAAATAAAATGCAGGAAAATATTTCCTTTGCTAAATTTATTCCCAATCCTATCCTGATCTATTCAGATGGGTTTTTTTTTATCATAGTTTCTTGATGCCTATAAATCATTAGGGAAAAAAATCTCTGGATTTTCATGCTGTTGTTTTTAGCTTTCTATAATTAAGAGCTGGCTTCAGTGATGATCAGCTTCTGACTTTGTTTCATATGCTCCTGTTTTAAGAAAACTTTTAAAATTATACAAAGTTCCTGGATGTAGGCAGCAAATCAAATGAAAACATGTTGTGGTATTTTGTGGTAACATTTGATAAAAAGGAAGGTTTATCGCCACCTCCAACTAAACTAGTGATGGGTCCATTTACACCAATGCATGCATGCGTCAGCCCATAGAGAAAACTATAAAAAGCCAATAGGGCCACTATTCACATCTAATTATCATGTTTAATTAGATGCAATAGTGGCACTCTTGGCTTGCCATAGCATGGAACTTTAACCACTGTGGCAACACTTAACTGTAGAAAATGTGAACTGTTGCAAGTAATGCTACGTTCACACCTAAAGCAGCAGGAGCAGCAAAAACGCATCTGCTGCTTCATTTTTGATGCTTGTACAAATTTAGTTCTGACACACAGCAGGAGCAGCAAACCTGCTTCAGCTGCGCAGTGGTAAAGTGGGTCTGATGCGCATTAAGCGGAGCTACTCTATCCTTTCTTTGCCTGTCAGCTATATTTGCTTTGATCAGTGGGAATAAAGTACTTTTAATATGTTTTTAAGTGGGAAAATCCACCTGAAAACTTTATCAGTGCAGTTAATTCATCCAGATTACCATCCTGCCTTCAAATATTATTTCTGTCGAAGCCGCTCAGACCCCCACATACCAGCGGTGTCAGTAGTAGGGCTGCCAAAGTCCTGAATTGATTCGATTTTTATTTGCACTGTTCTAAATCTATTCATTTTGATTAATTTTGTTTTTACAATAATGAATGTGTTTCAAAATACTCATGTATTTTGTTTTTTCCTGTCACATTAAACACAAATTGCAAACTTGAAAATCAGACAGTTTAAACATGAGATGTGAACAAAACTGTCTCAAAAGTGCAAACTTTTTGTGAAAAGTGAAAAAGTGAAGCCTCACTCGAGTGAGCAGACGTGACACGGAGGGGACACAGCATTGTCTGTAACAACTAAAGGGTGTTTTCTGGTCAGCCCCCATTTGTTAATGTCTTCGGTCAACCTTTTGACTATATTTGCAGCTGTCTGGCTTGAAGTAATCTTGAGTGCATCTTTCCTGCTCATTTGAATGTGAACGTCATGCACGTCACTATAAAATGAATTGATCTCATTCCCTAAACATCGATTTTGCAAAAATGTAAAGGAATCGATTCAAAATTGATTAAATCGATTGTTTAGCCAGCCCTAGTCAGTAGGAATCCCATTCAACAGTCACCTCCTCATGGATTGCCGCGGTTTTCATGTACGTAATCCAAGCAGCAGGCACCAGGATAATAAAAGCGAACATGTTTTGCTGGCAGGTTTTAGCATTTTTAGTTCATTTAGGCATGAATAAACAGTTTCAGAGGAGTGATCATGGTGATCTGTATTATCAATGCTGTGTCTGTCTACCTGCCAGCACCCAGATCAACTTCTTTTATTGGTTGATGTGTCTTGTCTTGCAGCAAAAGTAAAATTTTTCCATCTCGAGCAGCAGCTGCGTTTGCGGTGCGGCACGTGCGTCAGATTCTCAAACGCTCCTGGCGCGCTGCTTCAGCTTCTCAAAACGCGATGAAGGACGTTTTGCTGCACCTTGACGCACGTCAACCATTGACTTTGCATGTCAGCTAGCTGCTCCTGCTGCCTCTGCTGTGTTTGGTGGGAACGCGGCATAATACCTCTAGAGCACAAAACATAGGTTAGCAATGCATGAAAGAAGGAAGGGCATAATTATCATAATATAATATCATAATAGGAAAATGTGCGTCTTCTACGTGTGTTGTCTGGGTAACGACGTGTGTCAGGAACCATTACGACGGACGTAAAAAGCGGTGCTTGTCATCATAAGGGACGTAAAAAGCTACGCTTTTGTTGGTAAAAGATGGTGAAAAAAGTCGTGAAAATTTGGAAAACGGGCGCGTTTAACAGGTACATTTCAATCTTAACGTGATAATTAGATGGGATTAGTGGCACTCTTGGCTTGCCATAAGAAACACTGTATCGGTGTGCGTGTCGTTTCAATGTAGTCATGTGACCGATACAGGAGTTGTTTCTAACTGACTGGCTCACCAAATAAAAAAAGTCTGTCAGTCTGTCAACATGATGCGTCTGCTAAAAAAAATTCTCATCTTTTGCAGTATTTTGAAGCAGCCTAAAAGGAATAGGAACCTTTGATCCGTTGCATTTTAACTTTACTTTTTTCGTTGTGATACTTTTCCTCTCAGATATCAGGCAATTTATCTGAATTCAAGTTAATTTCAAACTGACTCTTAGTTTATTTACTGTTTTTACTTTACTCATTGGAGTTTAAATCACATTTTTAAATGTATTCCACAAGCATCCTCGTTCAGATTTTCCCTTATGTTTTCACGTTATATGTTTACATTATCAAAGATATTTCCAACATACAATTACTTAAATTATCAAATATCATTGTACTAGGTCATCAAATCAATGTAGTGTCTATAAATGTCCAGCAAGTGTCAGTATTCTGTGAGACTCAGAGAATCAATAGTTTGGCTTCCAGGTGCCTCATTAACCGTCACTACCCCAAACCCCTGGGGGGGAAACAAAACGAAAACAAAACAAACTAATGCAATCAGTTGGACTTCCTGTTCACATTAATTAAATTTATTTCAAGGATGAGTTTGGACCAGTATAGACGAACAGAATAAATTTTTATTTTTATAGCGGTTGGCAAAACATTTGAAAGTGCATTACCGCCACCTCCTGGTATGGATTGTGGAACAAAATTACAGTATATTAACTTTTAATAAATATTTTTCTTTTTTTATAACTATTATTTTTTATTTACAATGCCAAATTTAATATAATTAAACTGAAAATAATAATGTAGCAAAAACTAAACTAAAAATAAACCTTAAATGTGGCAAAAGCCATTTCATTTTTAAATTGTTAAATACTACATTGACGTTTCGCTTCCCCTCCAGGAAACTTTCCAGTGGATTGTTTTTAAACTTTTACGGAAAAAGTATATTAACTTTTTTTTATATATAATAAGAAACTTTAATAAAATTAAATAGAAAATATGAAATACTTAATAATATAGCAAAAATGGTTAATGTATAATAAACTCCTAAAATATGGCAGAATCCATTTGAATATTAAATACTACATCAGAGGTGGGAGGTCTGGTGTAAATTGTTAAAAACATGTATTATAATACTTATATATATTGGATAGATTAAATGTGGAGTTTTCGGTTAAACAATAAAAACAGTCAGCTGGACTGTGATCCTCCAGCGTGTCCAGCTCGTAGATTCGTCCCTGTTCCATATTGATTCTGGGAGATGTAGTCCTTTCAGTTACCATGTTCAAGCTCTTGGTTAGCCTCAAGAACTACAAACCAGTCCGGGCGGAGCCTTGAGAGGACTTCCGGTTTTCAGTCGGGCAGCAGGAACCCAAGATGCTGGTCGCCCTGTCTGTGCTGCTGTTGTTCAGCTCCAGGCCGGTCTGCTGCGTTTTTCAGAGACTTTACTGCTCCTTCTCAGACAGCTGTGACTGCGACTTCAAGCCCAGCATCAGGGGTGAGTTTGTGTTTACAGCTAGTGCTACAGCTACATGTTAGCAGGCAGCTAACAGTGCTGCAGGACACCAGAGATGAGCTAGCTGCCCCTTAAAGAAGCTCTGACTCACTAATGAAGTATTTTTCTGACTGCTAATTTCAATTCAATTCAGTTTATTTATATAGCACCAATTCACATGTCATTTCATGGCACTTTACAATTCAACAGATCATCCAGTCAAATTGATTCAAAGTTTTCTATCTAAGGAAAACCAATTGATTGCATCAACTCATTGACTCCAGGGCAATCCCTCACACTAAGCATGCTTGTAGCGACAGTGGAGAGGAAAAACTCCCTTTTAACAGGAAAGCAGAACCAGGCTCAGTGTGAGCGGCCGTCTGCTGAGGTCGACTGGGGTTCAAGGAGACAGAAGCAGAGATAAAAAAAAAGGGCAACTGTAAAAGGCGGCCCCGTCCAGGAAACACACAGCCAGTCAGACGAGCTCCGAGCCAGCTCCCATGTCAGAGGATGAAGAGAACACATCCAGCCAGTCACAGTCAGAGAAACAGGACTACACTGGAAAAACAGGCCGATCTCCAACATCTATAAACAAAGGTGTCGTTGACAGCAGCAGAGCTGGTATTTCTCTCCAGAACACAGAAAGCCAATGTCTATCAACTCTGCTCAGAAGCTGAAACAACTTTAAAGGAATATTACACCCAAAACATGATTAGCCTTCATTTTCTACTCACCCCCATGCTGAACAACACTCTGTAGTACTTTTTGGATATCTCAAATGCATCTGGAGATCTGG